AAGATGGAATATCTGTATCGGTTGGCAGATTTCTTCCTGGAATTTGATGAAAACAAATCGGCAAATCTTTACAGTATGCAAATTAGAATAACACTGTGGATAAGTTGGCCGGAACATTTTTGCTGAAAATGTTTTTCCCCAAAAAACACTTGGTTGAATTCTCACAAAGGGGGATATTTTCTTGTCAAGGGGCAGGGGTAGTCTAGCATTATTGGAATTAATTATGTGACTAGTATATGCTTTGCAGGTGGGATTTGTACTTGCCTTATTCGGGAAAGACCTTTAGAAGTGAATGGAATCATCACATTGTCATTTGTTAAATCCTGGCTTTTGCAGGTCCTATGCAACCCATTTGTTGGGCGACACACGACGCACGACGGGCGACGGCAGATATGAAATTCCATATTTCACGTAAATAAGCTAGAGAAAAACATGCCCATTATAAGAATCCGACGTTGACAGATTTACTGAACAGACATTAGATTTACTGGTCAAATCAAAGCTCAAGTAGATAAGTAGATAATTTGGACTATCCGTGTTCCTCGAGCCACACCTAAAAGCCACAGCGAGCAAACAATACCAACTGCATCCAGCATGAAGGCCATTTTACCTCAAAGAGTTTAGAAGAGTCGCAAGAGGACAACAAGACAGCCACAATGGATACAATGAAAATGATATTGCTTCTTTTCTCAGGTGAGTTTCGTTGGCTGTGACGATGATTAACTTGTTTTGTTTCCCCACTCTGTTTTTATACGGCGAAGACATTGAGACCTCAGTGCGCAATGACAATGACAAGGACAAGGTAGGCATGCGTTTTCCGATCATATTTAAAGTTTCACTTGTCCTTGCATCTAGCAGAACATGTACCACCAAAATCCGTTAGAAATGACCCATAAAAGACGGGCCACCTATGACAATTCCCGATAAAAATGACAACCTAAACATAATCCAGTCACCACCGGTTATCAACTTCCTCTAGACATTGCTGTTATTATTGATTTTGACACTTTCTTTTCAGCAGGACTACTTCTGCCCAGCTGCATCCTTTCCTTGAGGTCCAAGCCACTGAGGAATCGCGACATTGCTCTGACGAATGGGAAAAAATCGGAAACGCGAGACAACGGTAACATGAAATCTCCCCCCCTCAGAAAGCTCCGAGAGGACCTGATGGAGAAGTACGAGAACCGTATCTATCGTGTCCGGAGGGACTCGTCCGAAGAGAACATGCTACCGGAACCCAGCGAGAGCGAGTTCCCGGAGACTAGTGCGGGAAGCAGTGCAGGATCCAGCGTCGGGTCTCGCGCCGGATCTAGTGTGGGGTCGAGTCACGGCTCGCAGAGCGTTATCCGGCTGGACTTCGGACTCCTGAATCAAGGAAACGGTATCGGCAGCAACAGTGGAGCGTGTGGAATGTGTTACTCATCATCACAAATCACCATAATGCTACTGATTAGTGTAACAAGCCTACTAAGTGTTGCCCGCTAGAACATTAACTCACTTCATGAGGATCCCTTTAACAAAAAGACTACAAAAAGGCTATATGTAGTCGAATGTCTTGATTGGACAGCACTGTGCACGTTTTCTTGCTTGACGTTCCTCTGATACTCTTATGTCCATTTCGCTTTGAGATTAGTACCGAAAACTAAATTGCATTCACGCATGCGTAACTTCGCCTTGTGCAAAGAAGCAGGATATTTTTCAGAAATTCAAAACCATTTTGCCCCATCATGCCACATCAGCTAGACCTTGGTCGTACTTTATGATTTTGTCGAATTTGAAATCTTTCGTATTCATCTGTTCATAGACAGCCAGGGGCGAGGTCCCGCTGTTTGCCGGGGGAGGCTGGCTCCAGAAAGAGCACTATATCTCTGTACCCTCCCAGTCCCAGTTTTACATGACCTTTAGGGCTGCTCTTATTGAATTTGTCTTTCTTTAGGTGTTAACTCCCCCCCCCCCAATTTGGTTCTAGATCCGCCCTAAATGAGGCTCCTCCAAGGGAAGAATCTGTGATCAAGGCAATAGTTGCGTTATACCTGTTTACGTTTGCAATAGTAGGAAAGCATTTAGCTCTCTTAATTTAATTAAGGTTTAGTCGTGGATTACAGTCTTACTAGAGGCTACATTTATTACTAATTATTGTAGGTCTACTTAAAATAAGGTGTTTTACGTATATTCTGCGTGTTTGACCATCAAGGGACGTGGAAATTTTACACCAGAGTATGGGCTTCGAGCTGGACCAAGAGAGGGCGCTATTTTCATAGCAAGGGAGGTACTTTGCTCAGAACTGAGCTTCGCTGGTTCACGAACGATTAGGAAATGCACGCGTCACGGTCGCATCGCTACCAACAAATTGAACACGCCCGAAGAACACACCTCTTTTCAACCAATGAAGGGGGTGCTCCTGCTCGAAGTCGATAGGATGGCTTGAGGGTTGCCATGGTATTACCCAGGCATGTATGATAGAGACATGTTCTTATTATTTAAGATACAAGCCTCACAAATGGCATCACGTGAGTGGAATACGAAAGAAGCGGACTTAATTATTGTTGAACATTATTTTCATTCATTGTTTGCAAGAGTTGGGAATAAAAAGGATGTCAGTAAATTCTACAACCTGTGTTTAGTCTGGTATTTGGAATACCAAGAATTTGTTCCTCCTGTACAGTTTTCATGGAAGATCGCTTGTACATGCAAAATGAATGCTACCGGTAACAAGCACACTGGCACACTGTGCAGAAGTAAAAATCTGACTCGTCTGCTAGTAGTAGGTTGTGCAAAGAGGGCGCTAAAACTGAACCTGCAAAATAAACGCACACACCGCCAAAGAAAGCTCAAAATTTGCTTGTCACCCACTGCCCTTATGGAGTGCTGGGAAGGGCAAATGCATCACAACGTCAGTTTTTGCCGAGCGCTCATTGAATAGAGTTCATTCGAACGATAACATGGGTCAGCACTTCCACGTGCGCATGACTCGGGCCTACCGGAAAGACATGTGTTGATTACAACAGCAAGTGACCTGCATTGATTTGCACGTCCAAACCTGTGCTGTATTTCCTTCACAAAAACTTTAATTTGTAAAATGCATCAACCCCCTCCAAGGCCCGGAAGAACGGTAGGAAACGAGCAAATTGTACATAATTAGGCCCCCTATACAATTTCGGTACGCAATTCTTTTTATGGAGAGTTTAGCCAGTGCTCTTTTCTCAATCGGACGTAATGTCGTAATAAGTTGTCCAGTTCTGAATCTGTTAAAACTTTCAAAGATGTCAATCTTGCATTGTGTCTTGAATATTCCTCTACTTGTTATTTAATAGCATGTATAATTCATATCAGCAGCACTGCCATCACTTACGAGTTCAAACATTCTTCTGTCATGAAGAAACGGTGTTACTCCTTGGTCATTCTTTGCCATTTTGTGTGCAGAGCCGCCTTGGTTGCAAAAAAGGTACGATTCATTCAAATGCATTCAGTGCCTTGTTTGCATAGCAGCGGAATAGCCAGGTCTTGGGTTGGCGGTAAGATGGAGTTTTTCCAAAAGCAAAATGTTTTCATTCGAAAAGAGTCCCCAACCCCTAAAACAACACGGCAGTATAGTTCCTAAATGATGGCACTTACAATTGAACAGACATGTTAAGGTGCTACCTCGCCACCCGGTACACACTAATGTGTAAGACTATCTTTGAAGTCATCCAAAGGTGAGGGCTCCTTTTTAAAATTTTTGCAGCCAGGGTGTCTTTTTTCTATAACCAGCGTTGTGGTTCCTTGGGAAGGTGGTTATTAATGGCTCTCAGCAGCCGTGAGCAATCCTCATATGGTTTCCTACTACAGCCTTGGGATCCTATTTTTAAGTAATGGTTGAAGTCGTGCAGAAATGAGTGTCCCATTACAGGTTTCCAACGTCACTATTCAACTTAACGAATGCATCATTAGGCATGGAAATTAACTTATTTTAAAACCTTGTAGATTAAGTACAGTGTATTTTAAAGAATGCAGAGACAGCGGCTAATGAATAACAGGCTGCTCCCGTTTTGGGCACACGCGGACCCAATGCTTGTTGTTTACAGGAAGAACGCCCTCTTCAGACAAGCATGTTATCACAGTCTGGGGTTGTTTGATCGAAAGAGTGCTGTACATTACCGTATCTTTCCTTGCAGAAACACGTAGACTACGTAGAGCCACGTAGGCACAAATGATTTGAGATGGGCGTTTTCAGAAGTAACACCACCTTTTACTGGCATTTCGGTATATAATAGAACACAACTAAAATTTGAACTTGAGGTTCATAATCGTTTTCTTTGACTCTACGAAAATAAAGAGGTCAAAGTAAATACTTGAATTTAACAGTGTTTACAGGTCGAACGACATAGAAAGTTCATCAGCTTTGCCAATTTTCTTTCTCGTACACAAAGCCACTCATTGAATCTCAGCAAGTCTATATTAAGTATAAATTGAATCTGTTTAAATCAGTACTCGCCCACCCTTCTCAACTTCCGGGGATATATTTGTCATGAATTACACCCTTGATTGAACCAACGATCTTGGCTTATTGTGCATCAATTGGCGTAGAAGCCACTGTTAAATTAATCAGCGGATGACCCGTATTAAAGTAATTGGAACAATGGACCTCTTGACGTCAAAGCGCTGTAGCAAACAAATGTCGAGAAGGCTATTTTTATCCTCCGATAATCAGTCAGACTAGGGCTGGACTTTTCCCCCTCCCAACTCATTCATGCTATAATATACGCATGTTGCAACCCCGCTGCCCTTGATTCAGCAAGCGGAATCGACCAATTACGCCCGGGATGTCAGGAAGGGTATCCCCGCATGAGGTCGGGTGGTGCGCCACGAAGATCTTTGGTGATGCCGAGGAACAAAATACCTAATATGGGTGTCCCAAACTGGTGGTAGAATCCACGATTCAAGTCATTGCAGGAGCAGACGTCCCTCCAACAGCTCGGGGTTTCACCGTCCTCTCAGAGTTAAACGCCAAACATTTCACGATGTTCTATTATTTCCTATTTCTTCTGGCGTGTCCGCTGGCAGGTAAATCATTCTTATGATGCTTATGACTTTTTTAATCCCTTACCATCGACTCTCGTGACCTTTTTCGTTGTTTTACTCCTATCTGCATGCATCTCACTTTGAACGATAGCATGAACATATCAACAGGGAGGGTTCTTGTACCTCAAGGCAGAATACATAATGTGGACAGACGATGTTAGGAATGAACTTGATATTTTACGCGAATGGAGAAAAAAGTGTTCTCCTTTATCTGAATGTTTTAAAAGAATTTAAAAACGTTTACGAAAATCATTTTGGTGAAATTTTGCTCAGTTTGAGTATTATCATTTTGAAAGGACTTCTGAATCAAATATTGATCCAGTGTTAGCAGCAATCTCTTCCCTTTTTCTCACAGTATTTGGCCAGTTTGGCGGATTTCCAGTCAACGGCGACGGCCCTCTCCCTGAAATGCCCATGCCTTCCACAACCAGACCTCCTGCGGCAGACGCTGGGATAGGCAACGCCGGAGTCGGCTTTGGCAACAACAACGGCTTTGGCGGAACCAGCGCCGGCGGCGGTGTTGGGGATGTTGGCGGTAGCGTCGGCGCTGGTCAAGCCGGCGCCGGGGGAGCCAGCGTGGGCAGCGTAGGTGCCGGCGGCGCCACCGGTCAGGGCGGCTTGGACGACAACGACGGCTCCGATGACGACAACGATGGCTCCGGCAGTGGTGGGGGCTCCGGTTCGGCCGGAGGTAGCATGTCCTACTCGTACGACTACGGCACCGGCGGAGGAGGTCCGGGGCTCCTCAGCAGTTCCGGGGGGAAGGCCGGTGTGGGCATCGCATGCGTTGTGGCGGTGGCCGTGCTGGTGGCAGGCGCAATGTTCATCTTCTACAAGAGGCAGCAGAGACAAGGAATGGGCGGGAATGTTTAAGTACAAAATGGCAACAAGGAACTCGAAGAGAAACTCATAGTATTCATTTTGAAGTATTTTCTTTGTATTTATGCTGAGTAGAAATTCCTATTAACAGTAATGCTGAGCATTGTTACAACTGCCAGAGTGTTATTTACTGATGTAAGGGACGAACCTGGACCAACAAAAAATTATCTGAAATTGACAACATCAGGACAGTGCCAACCGTCAGGTAAATGTGGGATTTTTCGTCCATATCTTTTAAAACGCTCATCAACATGCCGTCCGTCTGCAGGTGTCTTGGACCTCACTTTGTCTGAGGAACTTAACGGAAAAAGGAACGGCTTACCACATTGCTTCAATGTCAAACGAAAAACCATTCAATGTATTTAATGTAATGTTCACCCAGTTTCTCACTCCTTGCTCATTCCAGCGAAGTTCCCAACCATTTTATAGTCAGCACTGGTCGGCTGATGACGTCAGAGCCCCCTGCAGGCTCCAAACTGAATAAAGCTTGTGCTGAGTGCAATTCAAATTCTCAACAAATGAGGGCGCTGTACGTTAGAGGCTTCATTTGCCTCAACCTACCTCTTGCCTTGTCCGAATTACTTCGCCGGGGCTTAAAATTACGCAAGAGTCTATGGTTATGGCTGCAGCCACTTCCCATAGAGTTGCGTGTAATTTCAAGCCGCAGTCAAGTATTTTGGACACGGTTTTAGGAATTGTTGTAGACGTCCATGTACTCTATAAAGTCGGTGGCAGATGAAGAACTAGCGCCCTCTACGTACACATTCAAGTACTCGTTCATCAAAAACAAAAACACCCTTTGGTGTCTCAATCCTACGAGCAACAATACTTTCCAAGAGAATACTACATGTTTTAAAGTATGGGACCTGCAATGAGGCTATTTTTTATTGTGTTTTAGGCTTATAGTGTTTAGGTTTTGAAACGATTCCTTTGTTGGATCTTATAATATACCGGTATATCGGGACAACTATACTCAGGCGGTGGCAGAAATTCCAATAATCAAGACAAAGGCGGTCTTGCACACAATTATATTCTTATACATAGAATACGCCGCTGAACTGCGGGCAGTTACACGGAATACGGGACTTAGTGGTTTTTGCTGTACATTACGCTACGTCTATCCTTTTTTCACGCTAACTATTCTAAAAGTATAAAAATGGATGTTATCTTTGGCTTGTTCATTTGATAGCTATCTGTCAGTAATGTTGTACGTCTGTAATATAGCTGCATATAAATATAATTCTATGAGCCTATAAATAATCAGAAGTTTTTTCTTTGTGTGAACTAGATTACTAAAACTACCTTTGAATGAGGTATAGGAAAAGCCTTGCTGTACACGAATAAATAATACAAGAACAGTACAGAAAAACCATACTCCTACAAGCCTTTGCCTGTGTTTCGAAGCCTGAGCCATAGGTATCAGTTTATGCCACTTGGATAAATCTTAATTTTGGCAAGTCAAAGCATACTGTTAGTTGAAGAGGTATGTGACGCGCACGTACCAGCTTCACATGAGCGCGGTACCACCCTCAGAGACTGAGGATCATTTTAAATGGCATTTCTGGTCGCCGAGTTAGTCCACAGTGGCCCCTGACGCTGTGCTTATTGGCCGATATTTGGCGAGCTGGGAATGGATAGATTGAAATCGTGTAAAATCTAACTGGTTTCTTCCCCCAAGACAGAACTGAATCACAGTAACGCGCATTGGCACAGATCAACGGAAATTACATAGTCTCGTACGTTCATTGACTTCGATCACCGTCGTATCCCGTCCCCATCGCATCCTCGACAACATTTACCTTCTGTTTTGAGGTGCAGTTTAACTTCTAAAGATCTGCAATATGTATCAATTTATGTTAAAGCCTCCAGCAGAATCTTCTGTCAAATATCACTTTTGCTAATCTGACGTAGATTTGATTAAAATCAAAGATCTTTCGATGTGTTCTTTTTTAAACAGTGTAATCAAAAGCGAACATTTTTGTGATGGATGATACAGAGACGTTTGCCAGATTTGAATTTTTCGCATGCACTGCCTTCCATTTGGCATATAGAATAAGTGGTTGATCTTTCCTCAGTTGAAAGTGATTCATAAAAATATCAACTTTCATTTAAGAAATAGAAATCACCTTTGAAAACATCCAAAAACAGTAACTCGGGTAATTTACGGGATATTCTAAAATTGAGGGCGCCCTTCTACATTTGCGCACGTTTTCTGCTGGCGAAACGTCACGTGCCGGATAAGATTCACAACAGGAATCTGATCAAACGAACAAAAGTGAGGGGCCGTGAATTCTATTGTTGTAAATCTCATCGATAAATTTAAGATAAAATAGTCCTTCTAGTTGTCGTTGGGTATTGCTATAGGTCTCACATCGCTTGTTAACACTGAAACCCGTATTTGACCACAGAATACTTGTTTCAAAAATCATTGTCTTATACCGGTATTCATTTTAACAAAATATTTGTGGCTTTATCGGAGCACCAAGAGTGGTCATAAATGTCTCTAAAAAGACTGGAAAACGTATTTGTGAAGTTTAATGACAAAAATGGCACGTGCTTGGTCGCATCAAACTTCGCATTGCTGAAATTAGAGCACATCGATCCATTTCCAAACGGTGTGGAACAAAGTTTCATATTCTTAAAATTAGTGAAAATATTGATATATCATGACCCAGCTCCGTGAGTCACACAAGCAGGTGCACGCTCCTGGTAATTTAGTCCACCCAACAATGATGAAAAATCATATAATACTTAACAGAAACATCAAACACATCGAGGTAAGAATGACTAGTGAAATAATGACATGACTAATCATCCCCTGACCTTCAACCCCTCCTCTGATACCTCCCACCCCTTGACCAGGGGTGAAGGCAGCTACATACTGACTGGGGATCACGTCCTGTTTCCGTTGGGACAAGAGAGCCACACCGATCCCCCTGTAATTGGCCGGAAACAGGGTGAATTAGTGACTCAGTAGAGTGGGGGTATGAATCGGCACGCGGTACCAGGCCGAGATGGTACGGTGCTTGGGGTTGGGGCGGGGCGTGTGGACGGAGAGGGGAGGGAAGGAACAGTAAGCATGACTGTACAAGACGCTGCGTCACAGACCCACACCGGACTTGATGACTTTGTTGTAGCATCACTAGAAGATGAAGCTACCAAGACCACTTTGAAATAAAGAAAAAAACACTCATCGAAATCCTATATTCATAACTAATTTAACACCTGTGTCTTAAGTAATTTCCGATCATGTCTTTCCCCTTTCTATTTTTAGATGTGTTACGTACCCAGAATAGATTACCTTTGCTGTGATGCAAAATTCACATGGTCTTTGCGCAGTCGCGATGCCGGCCCAGTAACCTCCAAGGTACATATAAATTTGGTTCATTTTAGCTTATGTGGTACCGGCAGCGAGATGATGCAAATAAAGACAATATCACCCTTCCGTACGTACTGCGGGGTTTGCGGCTCACTGTAATCGATGGACTGCTGTGAAGGAAGACTAGGAGAACAAGATTGTGATTTCACGGAGCTATGCACGAGAAGAGGAGCAAGGAGTTTACTTGTCGGGGGTGCACACAACTTGAATACAGATTATTACGATGTAATTGGTAAAAGTGGTTTATGCTTTAGAAAGAGCATCAGGCTTTTGGATTTAGTTACAGGATTGAAAAAAATACCAGTTGCACGGTCAGGTAGTCGGGTACAGGAATCCTTCCGACACGTCGAAAGTATAGTGTCAAAATTAATTAAATCTCAACACTGCTTCACTTAAAGAGCAGCTGAAAATCAGAAGCAAATTAAGTGATTACATTTGGTTTCTGGAAGGATGCGGTTGTAAGAAGAGTGCATCAGTTGAACATGAAGCACTTTGAATGATTGGTTGTTCACGTGACTGTCAAAGGAAAACACGAAGTGCGCCCTCTAGATTACAGGAGTATTTTGTAAAGTTTTTTTTCATACAAAGTTTTTGAACATTAGGTTATCCAACCTCTGTCAAATTGCTCTCTTTTTCATTTGGACAATACTTCAGAAACTGTTGATCTTGGACTTCTTCCAAATTCCAGGTTTAAGTCATAAATCCAAATTTATGTAGATAAGAACAATATTTGGCAAGCGTCCACAAGATACTCAAACAAAGAAAAACAGATGAAGTGGCAGTTTTGGGTTTAGATTTCTTTTTTTTCCAATGATGCATTGATATCAAGGCACGATACTTCGAATTCATAAATGACCCAATCGGTATAGGTCACTGGGTACAAGCAATAGATTTCGAAAATAAAGTACAAGAGAAGAGAACATTTTTCATCAGTCCTTCGCTCGGTAACATAATTTATCTTAAACTTTCTGATGGTCTAGTCTACCACATTGTTTCTGATGCCATACTGCTCAAATAATGCAGGAGACACCTGGAGACAACAGCGCACTGAAAATCCGTGGTTGACTGGCGTTTTGCAGCCCCGTTCAAAGGTTGAACATCTCTATTTGAACGTCTCAATGCAACTGGAATAGACTCCAAGTTAAGCCAACTTCAGCCGGTATCTTCTGTGGTTAAGACTTTGATGCATAGCAACTGTGTGCCATAAGCTACTAATAGGCGATCAAATATAGCTTCCAATAGATAATTACAACAGAACTGACCTGAGCCTTAAACTATCCTCTCATTAATCTCGCTGGAACCACGCAGGAAATCTAGGTCCCCGATTTTAAAGACTTGCCTCCAACGTTTAACTCTTGGTTCAACCAGTTTGAAGTCTCCAACAACTGTTTCTCTTGGACAACAATTTATAAATTCAGGGTCGACCACAGACCAACTGATAATATTCGCTTCAAGTAATACGGAGAAGGCATCACATGGATGTATGCTCTTAGAGGCTTACCCCACGTTCATTCGAGAGATTTGAGGAGACTTTGAGCCAATGATAAAGGTGCTTTCGACCAGATTTGTCTTTTCGTTTCCGGTACATTAAATTTTAAATCCACCACTTCAAGTTTCACCACAATCATTTTGGTCACTGGTTCAAAGTAAAAAAACCAGTCAAAAACGAAGTCCAGCGTTCTGCTTCAAGATCCTCTTCCGCCAGGCTTCTGCCTCCTTGAGCTCAGCTAGCCCCTGTACTGCCTAGTCTTGTGTGGCAAAATAAAGCGGCAGAAAGGCTGCAGAACTCTGTGCTTGCTGTCCTGGACCCTCGTCTTTGACAGTCTCCTTTTGTCCTGCGCTGTCCCCACATGTTGGAGAATTTGTTGCTGTCCTAGTTATCTGTCTGTTCCCAGCATTGTTAGAGTATAGATTAACTGTCAATCTTGCCTGTGAATTGCTCAAAAGGAAGTTTCAAAATGACAACATCTGCCCGTCCTGAGGTCAGCCATCAGGTCACTTCAAAATGGAAATAATTGATGGCGGTCCAGTAATCAGGTGACACTAATCAGAAAACAGTGGCTACCTTACAGAAAGTAACCAAACTAGTCTTCAAAATGTGACCACTATTAATTTAGATTATGTACATCTTCAGATGGAGCCAATCTAAGAGGTGCATGCGGTGCGCTAGCTTTTTCCCACATGGATCTGCTTAAGTAGACTTTTTAAAATAGTTATTTACTTCATTTCACTGATTTTAACAACAGACAGGTGCTTACAAATGGCTGTTCATAGTGTACTGTCGGTCCACCTCCAAAATGAGGGCCGACTGGCCACCTCACGTGTGACAAAAAGGCGGGGCTGTCTGGGCAACAAGGGGAGCATGCTTTAACGCCTATATAAGACTCTATACCTTCTGTTTAATTGATCACATCAACCCCTGTAACTAACAGTTGGGTTGATAACCTCAAAAACTTCGAATATTCACTGGTGCAGTACGGTGTTTTGTTGATTGTTTTATGTCACTTTTGTACATGCTATTATTGGAGCTAGACGTTGGAGCGACCACGGAACGGACTGCACTGCACTGTTTAGGGATTCCTACATTTTAAGTCTCCAGGGTACAAGATCATCCAAACTGACCACTGACCATTACGTTTATTCCATGACCGTCCTCGGACCTTGCTACAATCCCTCCATCGACCTGCCATCGGTGACCAATCACGTCATCTTAATTACCGGTACTGTCTGGCTCTCATTCAGGAAAAAAAGTGGCTTCCGTCCACCCATGGACGTCCCTCAATCACTTGACGATCACGCCCCCTCCAGTTATTTCTTGATCAACGAGTTCCACCGTCCATTGTGGCAAGTTCCCCAGCCTATATAAATCGATGCCTTCTCGGAGGAGGGAAGCCAGCCCGAAGGACAATGGCTACATGGCCCAACAGTTCCCATTTCGAGTGTCGAGGAAATCTGTGGTCGCCTTCGCAAACAAGTGGTATGGAAGCTGCGTTTC